TGCATTCTTTGGAGACGCCTATGTTCTACACAAAAGCTATTCCAAGCCTTCGTAATTACAGGCTGTGGCACGAGTCAGGTATAACTGTTACACATATGTATGTATATATACGCACCAATACCCACGCATATGTGCCAAGTGCCTAGAGAGAAATATCTATAGGACCCACGTCTTAAGAACCGCCACATAACTGACATTTTAAAAAGTACAAAAAGAAAAAAGAAATTTTTGCCCAAATCCAGTGCAGATAAATTGTCTTCAACTTTTTTTTGGTTTATGGAACTAAAAAAGGAAATTCAACAATCGTTCAAAATCGTTCGGAACGGAATTATAATAAAAAATGACAAGTTTTTTTCATCTATATAGAAGGACCTAAATGCTGATCCTCCCAAAGGAATAAACTGAATGGCTCCTGCATAAGTACGCGCCTATATATATACGTTTGGGAAAAAAAGGGACCTCGTCATAAATTTTACGGTTATAAATGTCGTTCGGAAGTTTCTCTGCGTATATACTGGGCGCATGAATGTGATAAGAGTATGTGTATTCAACTCTTTCGTATTTTTATGATTCTCCATTGCAAGCGTTGCGTTGTGCATTTTGCGTTATTGCCGTTTCTTCCCTCTCTCTCTCTCTCTCTCGACCCCTTGCGCTTTGGAATTATGCAGAGCTAAAAGACAAAGCGGTCCCTCTTCTGCAACAAGCGTCGGTCTTTTCGCAAATTATGTACAGCCTCCGACGTCCATAGAAATATCAACGACAATATACTGCTCTTTCGAATCTTTCTCTCTCTCTCTCTCTCTTGGAAAGCGTTGCCACTGAAAGTCCACACGTTCATCTTTCAAACAATGTAATTCCTGGTACAGTTTGTATCATTCGTTGAGGGTGAAAAGAAATTCTTTCATAAAATATCGTTTCCCATCAATGCATTCACGTTTACTTCAGGATAACTGCGATTGGAAATAATTAACTTCAAGCGACTTGGAACTGTTATTTCTTTTGCGGAGAATTATCCAGACGAGGAATGTTACAAAACTCAAGTGTTAGGAGCTTCACAAATTATTACTGCTATTTTAGGTTCTGAAAGTTCAGGAATTTGGGGTACAACTAACTAGAGTGACGGAACTAGCCCTAAAGTACCTGAACCATCAGCAAAATTCACAAATCTGTTTTAAATTTTTACTACTTTAACAAAATTTCAAAAATAGCGGAAAAATTGTATCATATTTATGATATTACTGCTATTTTAGGTGCAAAAAAAAAAATAGTAAAAAAATAAAAAAAAAATAAATAAATAAAAAAAAATAGTAGCATAAATAGCAGAGTATTGGCAATATTTCGGTTATTTTAGGTATTGCAGATTCAGGAACATAAAGTGCAAGTAACTAGAGTGAGAAAACTAGTTCTAGAGTACCTAAACCTAAACTATAGCAATGTTGCCAACTCTGCTTAAATATCTAGCAGTAACATACTTTGAAATTTAGCTACAACATTAAAGCAAACTTTTGTAACAAACTTTCAAAAATAGTGTCAAAGTTGCTACAAGTTTAAATGCTGTGTAAGGAAGGAAACCTTAATAAAAAAAAAGTAGTTGGAGTGACACGAGTCTAGAGTCACATGATACCCTTTCATTAAAGAAGTGAAGTGAAAATGAGTAAAAGAACAGCTAACAGTGTAATGAGTATTACTGACATTAATCCAACAGCATCCTTAACTCGTCGCTGCACTTATTTATGAAGCACACTGTAAGAATGAAACGTTTCTACTCCAAAAGGAGTCAGTGGCAACTTATATATATATATATATAAAAATAAATTGCGCCTGATTTATTAGCGAAGGCCATAGCAGGTGTTATGCCTTGTAACGTATATGACAGTCCTTCCAGATTAGGAGATGACACCTATCAAGAGATCGAGGGCGAGGAAAGAACTACAACGATGAGATGAGCTCTGCTAATTTAAGTTTGCAGACCAACGATCCTGGTGACCTTAAATAAAAGTGTGTTTATATATATAGTATACCTCCCTCTGGTTAAATGTAGCCAAACGTGTTTTTACTGCTCTGCAACGTAGCCAAGAGAGAAAGAGAGAGAGAAAGCCCACAAAAGAAGATTGGCTGTCGGTCACTGGCGGGAATGGTTGCATTGTACGCTCAATGTCGATGTTGATACTAAAGTCCTTTAGGCGAGATTCTCCTCGGAGATAATAGAAGATGAGCCTGATTGCTCTTTGGGATTCTTCCCCTCATTGTTCACGATTTAAACAATATTCGCCAGTACTTTGAACAAGTATCACGACTTCATTGCAGGAACATCATTGATGTTATATACCATATATAAAAGGTGCAGATTTAAAGATGCTGCAAAAATAAGTTTTGATTTCATTGCTGATACTAAAGAGGGTATCGAGATACATTCTCAGATATTGTTCCTTCGTATAATCGAGATTTATCGATGGCACTGTGTGTATGAATATCTAACTGTTTCAGTCTGCTTCTCTCTCTCTCTCTCTTATACTTCAACTCTGCTTCTTTCAAGCAGAAACAGATTTTTTGAAAACTTTACTACAGAATAGAAAATAACCACATTCGAAAATTAGTAATTACCGATTTCTTTTTGCCGATCAAGAGTTAATAATTGTTGGGAGGAAAATTAAGAAGGAAGTTTTCTGACAACTGGTTGTCAATAATGGTTTTATTTGTCGCGATTATCACCGCGTTTCCAGAGCATCATAAGCAATAAATATGCGCCAAATTGTAGAGCAAGTAATGTCTTCCGCTAGGTCAATTGCGAACATCTGTAATTATACTCTGCAATTATATGGTTGCCGTTCATTATTCACGGTATCAAATAATATACTACTGCGCATCCTGACAAGTGGAACCACTCCCACACTATATATGACTTATCGATCAATTTTGGTGACTGATAATATTTTTTTCTGAATCTATACTCGACTCGACGAATAAACACCTTAGCGCTGATTTAATCTTCGAGAAAACAAACAGTACTCAGACTCAAGAATAAAAACATTACTTAAATGACAAAAGGCAACGAACTTTACAGGAAATGTTACTAGAGTTTCGAATCTAGTAAATCTAATTAGAAAAGTATACTAGAATTACAAGACTTGGAACTGGAATAATTAAGTTAATAAAGGTTTCAAGGTTAAACTCTAATTAAAAAGTTACTAGAGTTACAACGCTAATAAGTTTAATTGAAAAGTTATTATAGTTACAGAACTGTTATGGCTAATAAAGAAGTTACTAGAGTTTCAAGACTAAAACCTCTAATCAAAATTTTACTAGAGTTACCAGACTTGGAACCCTAATAATAAAGTTACTAGAATTTCAAGTCTAAAAACTTTAATAATTAAATTACTAGAGTGTCTGGTCTAGAAACCCTAAAAATTCAGTTACTGCAGTGACAAGATTCAAAAGTCTGTTAATAAAAGTTGTGCTACAGTTTAAGAATTGTTGATCTAATAATTTTATTACTGGTACTTAACTAAAAAGTTACTAAAATTACAAGACTAAATATACTGATATCTAATAATAAAGTTGCTAGAGTTAATGGAACGACAAGACTATAAAATCTAATAAAAAATTACTAGAATTTCAAGCCTAAAAATTCTAATAATAAAATTACTAGAGTTCCATGTCTAGAAATTCTAATAATTAAGTTACTAGAGTTTCAAGCCTAGAAATTTTAATAATTAAGTGACTAGAGTTTCAAGCCTAAAAATTCTAACAATTAAGTTACTAGAGTATCTAGACCAAAAATGTTAATTATTAATTTACTAGAGTTTCAAGATTAAAAATTCTAATAATTAAATTACTAGAGTTTCTGAACCAAACATTAATTATTAATTTACTAGAGTTTTAAGTCTAGAAATTCTAATAATTAAGTTGCTAGAGTTTCAAGACTAAAAATTCTAATAATTAAGTTACTAGAGTTTCAAGCCGAGAAATTTTAATAATTAAGTTACTAGAGTTTTAAGCCTAAAAATTGTAATTATAATATCACTAGAGTTTCATGTCTATAAATTCTAATAATTAAGTTACAAAAGTTTCAAATCTAGAAACCCTAATAAATAATTAAGTTACTAGAGTTTTAAGTCTAGAAACTCTTATAATTTAATTACTAGAGTTATAATTCTAGAAAATAATAATAATAAATAAAAAATTCATCGAATAAGACCAATTAGAAAATTAGTCACGATAGGTATATACTTTCTCGCCTACAATATAAGAATGCAAAAACCTTTTTAAGGAATTCAATCCATATGTCATTAAAATTTCTCCTGTGTCAATAAACGCGTAAATAGAATTTCAATTTATAAATAGAATTCTCGAATATATAAATAGTTTAGTTAGACACAATCTCTTTGATTTTACACGTCATTTGTTTTAATTAGCAGCTATTTATACCGTGACGTTCGATTCATTAACTTCTAGTATTCCCGTAAATACTGAATTTACATAAACTTACTACACGTCCACATGGCACTAATTAAGATATTCCAGAAGCCCCCAGGAAAATTTATTAATGAAACAAAATTCTATATGTGATGTTGGAAAATGCAACTTTTATTCATTCGTTATCAGATATGACTAGAAATCAGGTTTTCGATTAATACCCCTCCTGTATATAAATATATCACTTCAAAAGCAAAGAGAGTAAGAGAAATCAAGTTTGCCTTTTCATCATCAAAAAGTAGATTTTTATATTTTTATTCTTTTTTTTATTATTTCACCGCTATAAACAGTTCTGTTTTTTTCCAAAGGAGAGAAAAAGGTTATTTAATGATAGAGTAAGAAAATTCTTGACGCGATGAATACTCCTAATACATCAACTAGATGTTAATTATTGCTTCGAGCAAAAGAGGGATATTACAATTCAATGTCTCGGTGCGGTATTTATACGATATATATTATTGCTGCGCGATTTTAACGAATATAGTTTTTCATTGTAAAAATGAAGTTTACAAAGAATTACTTACATTGTCAGGTTGATTAATGTCCACGCCGTGGAGAATAAGTGTATCGCAAGTCTCCACTTGACCAGCTGCTGCGGCCAATAATAGTGGACTGCGACCGTGCTTTAAAAAAAAAATAAAATTCTACTTTTCGAACGAGTCTTTAAAAAATTTAATACTAAATTTATAATTTGTAAGGTAATTCTCTTTTCAATTTAATTTATAATTTGAGGTGGAATTTAAATTTCTTTTGTTAATTTACAAAAAGTTAGAAAAGATTCGAAAAGTTTTTTGTAAGGTTAGAGAATTCCGCAAAATGCGCATGCGTGGTTTTTATTTGCCCATGCGCAGTGAGCGGCAAACAAAGGAGCATGCGCAGTGGAAAATTTACCCAAATTGCGCATGCGTGATTTATATTAGCTCATGCGCAGTATGATTCTAGTAATAATACGTTAAAATTATTCATTAAATTGGTATAATTAATAGCTTTGCGGCTGGCGAATAAATTTTAATTCAAAAGCACGTTCAATAGCGCGTGAAATAAGAGTTTACGGAACATTAAGTTTTTGTAGTTTTTGAAGAGATTATTCTATCAGATGTGTACGACAGGTTGTTACTGGGGGATTACCTTTCCTAATAACATGTGCGAATTGAACGAGCAAAACTCACCTCATCCGGAAGGGGTTTGACGCCATCATCGAGAAGGCGAGCGAGACGCGTGGCATCACCACGAGCAGACGCCTCGCGCACCTTTTCTGCCATTCCGGTCAAGCATCTGCAGACAGAAAAAAAACATTCAACTTATTTTACAACTCATTTAAAATGAATAAAAAAAATATTTTATAAAATTTCGTTCTATAAACAGATTATTACAAAACAATTACAAAAAAATACAAACAGAAGAGAACAATTACAAACAAAAAAGTAAGAAAGCAATTACAAACAAAAAGCATAAAAAAAGTAAGGAAATGATTACAATCAAAAATGAAAAAAGCAATTACAAACAGATAATTCTCTCTCGATTAATAAAAATTAGCTAAAAAGTGAAATTCCTTTCGATGAAAATTTCCAATAGTTTCTCATTCTATAATTAGTATTACAAGCGCGCGCAATTTTTTTTTCCTCCACAAACATTGAATCAACATTCCAGGCATGAAGCACAACGCAACAAGGGAACTCATATACATGAGAAAAAGAATTTGAAAAGTGAATTCGTCTTTTGTCAAATTAACATTACACCAAATCGTATTCACAAGACGAAAACCCATCTTCATTAAAGAAGAGCAAAAGAACATGGAGCTGTAAAGGTACAATGATACATGACGCTATTGTTCGATGAGACAATGGTCTCACTTTTGTGCGTTGAAGAAATAGTAACTTAAGTGCGATGAATTCTACCTTTTTGGTCTATAAACAATAATATGCCGCATATTAATTACAGGGAAACATTTTTCAAATACTCTCAACAAACTAATTTTGTATAATATGAAATACCTACTCCTATATATATATAAGTTGAGATTTAATTTTTCTTTATATAGATAAGAAGAAAGTAAAAAATAAATGCAAATACATTTTAAAGCAATATATTTGTATTTATAAATAGTAACTGCAAATTTGTGCAAATAACTTGAATGATTTCTTTCTTTTTTCAATGCTGTCTACACTTTTCTCGTTAAGTACTGTGCACATAGAGACTATTACAGAGGAAGCGCTAATTGCTGAGAACTTACATCGTGTAGGCACGAGAGATTCCTCCCTCGGCGTGTCCGTACATATCCAATAGCACGTCTGCTCTTCTAAGAGGCATGTTTGATATTCTTGAATATTTCAGCTATTTAATAGATATTGTTTTTTTTGGTATTTGCGAGCGAAAGTAGGGGGAAAAATTGTAAATTAATTGTATTACTAAAAATGTTGGTAAAATTTAGGTAAAGTAAAGTCTAATGATCACCTATCGGCGATCATTAGACTTAACTTTACCTAAATTTTACACAATTAGGAATATTTTTTTCAAACTAAATCTGCATTGACATTAAATCTGTATTGATACTCCTCCCTAAGAAACAAAAATTAATTTTCCTCCCTCAGACACGAATTCATTATTAGTTCCTTCTTCTTTGCAAGAAAATTATTATTCGTTATTTTTTAAAGCACTTTAATCAATTTTAGTTCCTCCCTTACGCATTAGAAATATAAATCCACTGACTCTAATAATTAAGTTACTAGAAGTTTCAAAATTAAAAGTTACTACAGTTAAAGGTCTAATAACTTTAATTAAAAAGTTACTAGAGTTCCAGAACTAAGAACTCTAATAATTAAGTTACTAGAGTTTCAAGTCTAATAGCTCTATTCAAAATGTTACTAGACATACGAAACTTGGAACCCTAATAGAAAAGTTACTAGGGCTTCAAGTGTCGAAACCCTAATAGTTAAGTTACTAGAGTTTCATGTTTAGAAATTCTAATAACTAAGTTACTAGAGTTTCAAGACTAGAAAGTCTAATAATTAAGTTACTAGAGATTCAAGACTAAAAATTTTAATAATTAAGTTACTAGAGTTTTAAGTCTGTGAACTCTAATAATATAGTTACTAGAATTTCAAGCTTAAAAATTCTAATAATTAAATTACTAAAGTTTCAAACCTAGAAACCCTAATAATAAAGTTACTAGAATTTCAAGTCTACAAAATCTAGTTCGTTAAGTTACTAGAGTTTCGACCTTAGAAAATAATGATTAATGTCTACAAACCGCAATAATTCATAAAAGTTACTAGATATACAAGCTTAGAAACTCTAATAATTTAATTACTAGAGTTTCAAGTCATTAAACCCTAATAATTAAGTTACTAGAGTTTCATGTCTAGAAATTATAATAATTAAATTCCAACAGTTTCTGGTTTAGAAAATTTAATAATTAAGTTACTAGAGTTTCAAGACTCGAAACCCTAATAATTAAGTTACTAGACTATCAAGCTTAAAAATTCTAATAATTAAGTTACTAGACTTTCAAGCTTAAAAATTCTAATAATAAAGTTACTAGAGTTTCTGGTCCAGAAATTTTAATAATTCTGATACTAGAGTTTCTGGCCTAACAATTTTATTAATTAAGTTACTAGAGTTTTAAACCTAGAAATTCTAATAATTATGTTACTAGAGTTCCAAACTTAAAAGTTTTAATAATAAATTTACTAGAGTTTCAAACCTAGAAATTCTAATATTTAAATTACTAGAGTTTAAAGCCAATAAATTCATATAATTAAGTTACTAGAGTTTTAAGCCTAGAAATTCTAATAACAAATTACTAGAGTTACAAGAGTAGGAAATTCTAATAATTAAGTTACTAAAGATTTGAAGTATGAAGGTTACTATAGTTAAATGGCTAATGACTTTAATTAAAAAGTTTCTAAAGTTATAAGGCTAGAAACTTTAATAATTAAGTGAGTAGGGATTTGAAGTCTAAAAGTTACTAAAGTTAAAAGGTTAATAACTCTAATTTAAAAGTTACTAGAATTACAGAACTGTTATGGCTAATATAAGTGTTACCAGAGTTCTAAGGCTAATAACTTTTAATTAAAAATTTACTAGAGTTATAAGACTAAGAACTCTAATAATTTAGTTACTAGAGTTTCAAGCCGTATACTCCAATAATTAAGTTACTAGAGTTTCCTCTAATTTAAAAGTTACTGAAGTTATAATAAATATATCAGACTGACAAAAAAATCAAAGACTAGTAAAAAAATTACTAGAGTTTTAAGACTAAATACTTTAAATAACAAAATTAACGCAATCCGATAACTGATAAGATTTCAGATAAAGATCTTTATTTACTTCTTCCCTTTTTTTGTAATTCCCTCAGAAAAATAAAGAATGAAGAACATGAAAATTCAAGTATAAAATAGCGTCCGTTTTAAATGCACTCGTATCGATAGTGTAATTTGTTCGTAGTATTTAGGGAAATATATCTAAAAAGAAATGCGCGCATACCAGTCGCGTGGAGATTGGAATAAGAAATCTTTTAATTAGAGATCATGGGGGACAGAATGTCTTTTACGTTCACGGGCCGATTTGCACTGGCATCGCAAGGCATTCCTTCCGCGATCGCGACCCACAAGAAACCATCCTTTCATGCGTAAAAAAAAAAGTCGCCGAACAAAAGCGTTCAATTAAAGCATCCGTTCGCCACGAGAGGCGGTTCCGGTTGAGAAATCAAATCGACGTGACTTCTGACACTGTAAAGATCACAGTTACGTCAACTAAAATTCTTCATTAACCAATTTTTAATCTTCTTTTATCCTTTTTAGCCTTTTTATCCTGTTTATCCTTTTTTCATCCTTTTTTAATCCTTCTTCTATCCTTTTTTCATCTTTGATAAAACCGTTTATTTTTCCCCGTATTTTATTACAATATTTTTTCAACATCATTAGATGAGGATAATCATTATAAAAGAAGTCCAGCGTCTGATACTTTGTTGATTCGTTATTATATAGAAATGGCTTTATCAAAAAATTCATGAAAAATACCACGTTGAAAACGAGTCGGTCACGAGCGTTGGTAGAATCGAAGGAAGTAAGATCATTTTTCATCATGACGACGAGGTTGGTTTCTCGTTTTTTATCAGTCACGTGATAGGCCGTTAGTGAGGGAGAAAAAAAAATAAAACTTAACTGGCACTTTTTCTTACGACCCGGCTCGTTATAATCGAACCTTTATTTACCACACAACAGTCATGTTTTTAATAAAATGTAGGGGAAAAAAATTAATTCCATAGTTTATACAATTTTTTTTCCATTGCAATGGGCGGTTCTTGAAAATTTACCGAGGAGCGGTCTCACTATGCGACAATTGCTTTATCAAAACAGAATTTTTAAATAACTTTTAATTAAAATACTTAATAGCATTAAAACACTTAATAACACTTTGTAACATTTAGAGACGCTTAATGAAACTTATATAGTATTATAATAATTTTATTACGATAATAAAAATAAATACGTTCAAATACCATTTAATTTTAATTCAAATACCAATTTTTAGTCAGTAATTTTACATTTTTCACTCTAGTTTTACTAAACATTTACTGATTCAAATTTTTATCACTATAATGTACACATGTTGGTTATTGCTCTCTTTTTAGTTTTACATTCTTTTTGGAATTTTTCTTCAAAATAAGGAGAAGATTGATGAGAGCTTGATGTTGCAAAATGCAAAAGAGGAAACAAAAATTGACTCAGAAATATAAGAACGAACACAGGCGAATAAGATAATGTTCTAAGTATGACTGACAATTATAATGATTCTGCAATCTCTTTAAGCAAAAGACGCACCCTATCCGGTAGCCATTTTTAGTTGCTCGAGAAGTATATCATCATCATTTTTTTTTCTTATTGATTACGTCATTTGGTTTTATTTTTAAATATCCAAAGATTTTTTTTGTCTTCTTAGGATTTAAAAATTGACGCCCGATTTTAAATAACGAAAATTTAGTTATTATAAAATAGTTAGAAATTAAAACGAGTTTAAAAGAGAAAAAAATTCAATGACTTTGAAATAAATTAAACCGTTCATTAGAGAGAATAATTGTCATTTTCTTCCCTTTGTTTTCGTCATTAGTGTCTCGTTTCGTTGGCTTTTTCATGACTTGAAACGACTCAAGACTTACTTAAGAAACCATCTCAAGTTTCTTGTAGCACAACATAAAAATTATAAAATTTCTCCTATAACTATTTTTTTAAAAATCAAACTGCGATTAATGAAAAATTCAAATCGTAAATCAG